AAGGGCCGTGAGCCCTCGAAATGCAGGCTTATTTTGTCAAAGTCATGTTTAGAGTTACCAGTTAATCTGGACATTTAGGATCTGGAAATTGATTTTCTTAAAACAAACCATGGACGAATGGCTCCTTGAAAAGTCCTGGATTAATCACGGGACCACAGACCCCAGTTTGAAGATGCTGCCTTAGCAGGTAGGAATATTTGGGAAACCAACCGACCGAGAAGGCAAGGAGAGAAATTGCTAGGATGAAGTTCGTGCCAGTGGGACAATCACCGCAGGATACTTTTTATATGTGATTGTCTTAGTCACCTCTTGCTGCATAACAAATTATCCCAAAACTTAGTGGCTTCAAACCATACACATTTATTATCTCACAGTTTAATTTAGACACAGCTTTTCTGGATCCTCAGTTTCTGGGTGTCCCACGTGTCTGCCATCAAAATGCCAGCTGGGGTTCTGGTCTTCAAGTCAAGTCTGAAGCTTTAACTAGTGCAGAATCTGCTTCCAAGCTCACTCACTCCGCATTGGGAGAATTCAGTTTTCGAGTGTTGTTGGTCTGAGGCTACCCTTCGTTTCTTGTCTCATGAATCTCTCCATAGGGCGGCTCACAATAGGTTAGCTTGCTTCATGGGAGCAAACATATGAGAAATGCCAGAGAGAATTCCAGCAAGACAAAGTCACAGTCTTATAACCTAATCATGGAAGTGATGCCCCATCACCTTTGCTAGAATCAAATCACTAGGTCTAGCACAATTCACCCACTATTTCTTGAGTTTTATTTTGAGCAAGGAAATGGGTCTGTGTTGTTCTTGCCTTAGAGCCTAGTGTTGAGAAGTCAGTGATATTAGTGGGCTTCCCAGGTGGCACTAGTGGTAAAGAACCTGCCTGCCAATGTAGGAAATGTAAGAGACGCAGGCCAGATTGCTGGGTTGGGAAGATCCCCTGGAGGAGGGCATGGCAACCCATTCCAGTATTTTTGCCTGGAGAATCCCATAGACAGAGGAGCCTGGCAGGCTACAGTCCATAGGGTCACAAAGTGTTGGACACGACTGAAGTGACTTAGCATACACACACAGGGATATTAGTACACACATATTACAGGGTGCAGTGCAGACGAATGCTTTGGAAGCTCAAAGTTGTTCCTCATTTGTATGTGATGGAAAGCCCCACCTGTCAGGAAGGAGGGCAAGTCACGTACAATGAGTGTCTTCTCTTTACTTTGAGAAACCATGGAGCACAGAGAAGTGCTTCTTAAAAGTATGAGCCCTAAACCATCTAGGGTACTTAATAAACATGCACAGACATGGACCAACTGGGTTAGCATCCCCTGGTATCCCCTTCATCCTGATTCCCACTAAGGTTCAGGAACTGCTGGCAAGTGCTTAGGCTCTAGAGTGTGATAGAGTTTGAGTTCAGTACTGGCTTTCTGACCTACAACATCTATCCCTGCACCCTCAGCCTCACTTTGCTCATCTGTGAAACAGAGTTAATATCTGAACTTCCTCTACAAGGTTGCTTTGAGACTCAGACAAGATCGCAGAATTAAGCACTTGGCAAGTGCTTTTTCCTGGCACAAAGCAAGTTTTCAAATGTCTTTATTATTATTCCAAGGAGGGAAAGCCTATATCTGATTGTGGGATTAGACATCCACAAAGCTCTGGACAACAGTAGGAGCCTCCTTGGGGACGTGATTCAGCTCAGTCAGCATGAATTCAGCTTTTAATTTGTGCCAGGTATGACGGAAGCCAGAAAGTTGGACCTGGGTTGGGGGTGGGGACAAAGGATGGTCATGTGAATCTCAGGTTGGTCCGAGGGCCTAGGGGGATTGCTAGGGTTACCTACCTGGCAGGTGGAGAGGTGGGTCTCACGGTTAGAGCTGGATTTGAGAGTTAACATTGCAGTAAGAGGAGAGATGGGGGCGTGGCTGAGAAGAAAGCTGAGATCTGGGAAATGGGCCACAGTTTTATTCAGGAATCAGGAAGAGAAAGAAGAAGGTGTGGTTAGCAAAGACAGGAAGACAAGAGGAGAAAAATGATAGAGGCCAAGGGGGGAAACAACATAGGGAGAGTCAGTTCCCACCCCAAGCTTCAGACAGAGACAGCAATTTCAATAGGATGGGGCTGAGAGGGAACCGCTTAGGAAGGAATGAAAGCAGAGACTCTTAACCTTGACTGTCATTAGAACCACCTGATAATTCTTAAAAATCTCTTTGCTCAGGCAGCACCCCAGACAGGTCAAATCAGAATTTCTGGGAGTGAGAGCTAGGCATTCGTCTTTGTAAAAGTGATTCCAATGTGCAGATAGTATTGAGAACCAGTGAATTACAGAGAGACTAGACATGGGTAAGGGAAGTCCACGGAAGTTATTACTTCAACAAGTCTAGCAGAAAAGAACAGAGGGGAAAGTCAAGAGCCAGTGGAGAGGGCTGATGGCTCGGATGGTAAAGGATCTTCCCGCAATGTGGGAGACCCGGGTTTGATTCCTAGGTGGGGAAGATTCCCTGGAGAAGGGAATGGCTACCCACTTCAGTATTCTTGCCTTGAGAATTCCATGGACAGAGAAGCCTGGTGGATTACAGCCCATGGGGTCGCTAAGACTCAGACACGACTGAGCACCTCTCATACACACTTCCCGGGTGGTGGAACGGTGGGACCACTGACCCAGCACAGGGGTGGAGAAGGCAAGGGGATCTGGAGTAGAGGTGGGGCTGAGCCTTAGCAAGGACACTTTCTTATCTGAGAGGAGGACCCTGGTGAGATGTGAAGACACAGGTGTTGAGTCGCACTCCCAGTCTTTCTGATTGGTCCTCAATGAGGCCCCATATTTTGTATTTCTAAAAATTTCCAGGTGATGCTAATGGCCCTGGGGGCCACACTTCAAGAACTACCAGAATACAGGGAAGGACACTATGCAGACAGGTTTTTGAGGGAGAGAGACAGGACAGAATCACTTCTTTCTCCTCTGGCCGGGGATAGGAAGAGCTCCCTTTCGGATCCAAGAAGAGTCGTCCAAGCTTAGGTCATTGGCACTGGTCAACCCTGGAAGCAGGATTCTTTAGAATTAGGGAGGAACTTCGGATACTGGGGTCCCACCCTTCCCCAAATGGAGTTCCTCACGGGGAACTCTTAGAGCTCCCCGGGTGATTCTCATTGAGGAGGCATGGTTGAGAAGGGCGGCAGGTGGACTAAATGGGGATCCTGATTTCCAAGCGGGAAGGTCTTAAATGGGATGGGTCTAAGGATCACCCGCCAGGCAGGGGGGCTCCGGAAGAGCCGCAGACATGGATGCTCTGGCTGAGAACTGCTTTCAGAAGTCATCCCTCGTTCAGGTACAAACGCCATCCGAGAAGACCGCGTCTCCTCCTACAACCCTTGCTCTCCCGCAGACTCCTGCCAATTCTTTTCCTTTTTGGCTGAGATTTCTACTTTTCGTTGGAAGCCGAAGAGAGCGCAAAGTTGCCAGGTGTCACTGCAGACGCGACCAAAGTAAATGAGACAGAGAACGGCAGAGGGGCTGGGAGTGTGCGAGAGGGAGGGAGGGAGGGGGGAAATGTGAGGTTTCCCAGAGAGGCAAACAGTCCTCCGGTGGGGCGTCCGGGAGCCTGGTTGGAAGCTGTGGGTGAAATCTGCAAAAGTGAAGAGTTCCGACTCCCACGTTGCTAGCGCTGATTTCAGCGCGGGGCGCTATTCCGCGCAGAAAATCTCGAGTTTCTCCAAATCGTCTTTAACAGGCTACCCATAAATGAATTTTAATAATGGGAATGTTAATGCCCAGGGAAAACCTACAGGAAAAATGTATGAAGCCTTTCGGCCGCAGGCGTCTCTCCCTTTTACTCCTCTTTTCCCTTCTCTGGTTCTTCCTCCTCTTTGTGTTTTGCTTTCCTGGTCTCCTCTGCGTGTCCGCCCAGCCTCCCCGGGCGCAGTCCGAGCGGGGGGCGCGCGCGGCAGGTGCAGGGCTCCTACCTGCCCCGCGCGCGCCCGGCGGCCGGCAGGGGGCGGTCGGCGATCGCTCTGCGCGCGGTCCCGCCCCGGCCCTGGGGACCCCGCGGCGGCGGGCCCGGCCCCCGCCGGGCTCATAGGAGGCGGCGGCGGCGGCGGCGGCGGCGCACCGGCCGCGCGCCCGTCCGCTCCCTCCGGCGCGCCCGCGCCGCCTCCCATACCTGCGCGGGGAGCGGCGCCGAGGCCTCCTCCCCCGCCCGCTGCCAGCCGCCGCCGCGGGAGTAAAGGTCGAGCCCGCAGACAGCGAGCCGGCCACTGCGCCTCCAGGAAGCCGGCGGGGCAGGTCGGAGAGGAGGGAAAAGAACCGAGAAACTCTCCGGCAGAAGATGGCGCCGGACGGGCCGGCCGAGGACTGAGAGCCGCCGGGACCTGCCGCCCGCCCCGGGCACTGCGTCCGGGCTCGGCCCGGCCGGCGCAGTCATGTCGGTCAGCGAGCTGTACAGCCAGGTGAGCGCGGGCCGCGCCGAGCCCGGCGCGCGGGAGGGCGGCGGGGCGCGCGGCCCGCGGGGTCTCGGTACCCCGCGGCTCCTCGGGGGCGTGGGGGCGCCGGCTACTCCTCGGAGCCTCCCCGCTCCGCGCCGCCTCCGAGCCCCTAACTTCGGGTGACGGAGAAAGTTTGGCTGTTCCGGGAGCGCCCCGGCCAGGACCATACCCCGGCTCCCCGACGCCCTGCGGTAGCTGTCCTCGCCCCGGCGCAGTCCGGCCGAAGCCCCCGGCACCGTCAGGCTCGGAGCCCGGGCCGCGGGGACTGCCCTCCCCACCCCGCCGCCCGCGGTGGTCCCCTGCTTGGGGACCCCACCTCGGTGCTCTGCAGCGCGATCTTCCGAGGGCGACCCTTTCGCGTGCCAAAGAGGGGGAACCCTGAATTCGGGGGGGGGTGACCCTCTAGCTTGCCAAAGGATCTGAATTCGGGGGGGTGTTCCTCCATTTGCGGGGTGGGGAGAAAAGGTGGGGTCTCAACCTGGCGGTGGGGCGCGGCGGCAAGGTGGTGGGGAAGCCGCGGGTCTAAGGATGCTCGGAGACCTCGGGAGGGCGAGGGGAGCGCTTCCTTACTCGGCCGCGGGGTGGGTATTTTGAGGTGGTCCCTCCGGGCGAGCCCCGAGTGGGCTTCAGTCCCTGCGGGGAGGGGGTGGGAGTACTGCTGACCCCCGGGGTGGAGTGTGAGATTTCCAGGATGTCCTCAAGGTCAGAATGGATGTGCGGGACTCGGTCCTTGGAGTCGGGAGAACAGGTGCGGCGGGGCGGAGACCGGCTTCCGCAGCAGTTGCCGCGATTGAAGTTAGAGACCGGACGCCGCTCCTCCCAGCGCCAGCCGCCGCCGGGGCCCCCTCGGGGTGGCGCTTGGTGCGGGCGCGCGGGGGCCGGTGAGGGGAGGGTGAGGGGCCTTTTTTACGTTCGTACCCCATCCCCCCTTAAAAAAATTTTTGTTTTTGAGTTCTGGATGTCACCGACACGTCGTCTGCTGGTTTGTCTTCACTGGGGCGGGGACACGTTTGCCAGTGCCTGGTGCCCACCTGTCCACGTGTGCAGAGGGGCGTCTGGCGCGAGCCTGGGTGTGTGATCCCCAGGACGCACGCCCGGGTGTGTGATCCCCAGGACGCGCGCCCGGGCCAACCGGTCTGGGCGGGGGAGGGACAGCTACTTCCGCATCCTCACCTGGAGACGTCTCGCGGTTGCCCCGCACCTGGGCGAGCCCTGCAGCTCCGTGGGCTGGCCGCCCCCTTTCCGTTTAAGGAGTTTTCTAATCCCTCGCCCTCTTGGAGGGGGATAGGGCCGAGCCTGGATGATGCGAGGTTGGCAGTGGGGTCTGTAACCGGGCTGGGGGCGGGGTCGCCCTCACCTGCTGCACCTCGCCGGCGCCGGCCGCGATCCCTGATGAAAGCTTCTGGGAGGATAGGGTGTGGAGCTGGGGGTGCACTCTCTGGCGTTTCTGGTTTGGGAAGAGCTCCCCATCCCGTTGACCAGTGGGAGTCTTGAGAGGAGCCCTCCAAGCTTAGCTTTCAGTTCTTCCCATGAAGTGGGTTATCTGGTACCTAAATGGGAGGCTGGAAACCAGCGAGGCAGGGAAAAATCTGGAGTGTAAAGTACTGAACCTTACGAAAGTGCACGAAAATACCGCTTGTACTCCTAAGTAAAATGAGTGACTCAACCGAATATACCTGCCACATATCCTATAGTACTTTATCAAACGATAACTAATTGCCGTATTACATGAAGCTGATGGACAACTGAAGAAACCCTTAATTTTTGGAGCCCTAATCTTGAAAAACAAGAATATCAGGTTGCTTTTGAAGACAGCTTTCAGGGAAACACTCGATTTTTAGTTAGAAATGAGCATATTGCATGTTAATTATTAGGAATGATGAGTTAGTAGGAGTCTGAGCTAAAAGTTACAGTGTACTCTCTCTTGACTTATAGATAATAAAGGACAAAAATGGTTCTTGAAGAAAAGGTCTTGGGAGGGCACTCAAAGTGCTTAAGGAAAAAAGTAGCTTCGTTGGTATGAGGATTTGGCATTCTTAGTCCAAAAGCAGTCTTAACACTTCTCCCTGAGGCTTGGGGACTGTACCTCACTGTTAATAGGTTTCCTGTTCATAATCATGTTTTAGGTTTATGAATCTCAAATTGAGCTTTTTCTGTGGCCCACGCAGTAGCTTCCATCCAGATTGCATCTTGAGCGGCTCTTACTTTTTCTGGCAGAGTTGAACACACTCACGTTTTACTACGAAGAGCAGTTGTGCTGTTTCCTCATCCTGACCATTCCGCCTGCTAGGCTGGAGTCTCAGTGTGCATATGAATCACAGATTATACAGAGAAACCGTGCCTGCGACTTAGATTCACTTTGTTTCTTGGGGAAGATGATTCGTTTATTTTAGTGTATTATCAGAGCAGCCAATGTTCCCATTTTTATTTTTAACTTGCTAGTGGGCTTTTCTAATGTGAGGAACACTGGGTCCAGGCATGCACTTTAATATATTATGCATGATGGAAATAATGATCTATTATGCCAACAGCATTTATGCGTGGGATGGAAATTTTAGAGCCCTTTATTGATTATACCTGTTGCTTTAGTGACATGGTATAAGAAGATGTTGTTGTTAGACTGTGAGATGCTTATTTAAGTGTATAAATTAGCCTGTAAGTACTATAAATAGTTTCAGGTAAGAACTTGGTATATTGGTCTCTTCCCAGTTACCCAGGAAAAAACTTTCTTCTCTTCCTTCCACGTTATTGTTTTCTTGCTCTTCTTGTTGATCCGTTCTCTGCAACTGGAGGCTTATATGATATGTGGAATTTTTTGTGGGGAGGGTAGAGATGATTTTAGTTATTGGTAGAGGGCATTTCCCATGACAAAAGCACTCTTGTTTTCAGAAGACCCAACACCTCGCCTTTAAGAAATTGCTTTCTTTGTTCTGAGGTTTTCCTCAATGGGAAAAAAGAGTGAGAGTGCATGTGTGACGCTTCGCTTCGAGGGTGACGTCAAGGTGAGTCAGCCACATCCACCCTTGTACAGAAAGGTGGAGCTAATGATGGGCTTTTGTCACAAGTGGCAAGTATGTGGCAAGTGCTAGTACTTTGTTTCCACCCCACAGGAAAAGGCAGTCTTTTATAAGTCAAATTAGCCCAGGTCCCAGGAAGATGTCCAAACATGCCTAAGCATAGTAAACAAGATTTGATTATGGTGGTTGCAGAAAATAGTCTGGTTTTTAAAGTTTGAAATACATAACCTTTCTTTCAGGCTGATTAATGCAACCCTTCCCTATACAAGGGTTATTCTGGATGAAAAATTGAAACACTGCTCTCTCAAATCATAGGGTCTTCAGGGTGCCACTTTGGTTCTAGCCAGCAGTGAGAATGAAAGTCGCTCGGTTGTGTCCGACTGTTTGCAATCCCATGGACTTCTCCAGGCCAGAATACTGGAGTGCGTAGCCTTTTCCCTCCAAGGGATCTTCCTAACCCAGGAGTCGAACCCAGGTCTCCTGCATTGCAGGCAGATTCTTTACCAGCTGAGTGGCTGGGGAAATCAGCAGACTGACACCAGCACCTTCAAATCCTCCCTTTCCTGCCTGGCTTCTAGCTGATAGGTGGTGTCGGAGTGGAGGACTTGGGAGTGCTGCTAGGTGACTTTACTAGTGGACATGCCCTGTGTGTATCAGTGATGGCTTTGAGCTCAGGGGGCCTTTACGAAGGGCACTATTTGGGGGCCAGTCCTTTGGAAAACAGAACTTGTGCTTCTGGGCTGATGTTCTCCAACTGTCTCCTCCCTGTGCATCGGGTGACATAGGCTTCTCCAGGTATCGGTCTGGAAGGCAGCAGGAGCTCCCGTTCCCCTGGTGCACCCTGGTAGAGAGACGAGGGCCTGGCGAACCGCTGCCATTATGCTCTTCGTCTGCCCTGGACCGCCCCCTGCACGCTGCCTGGCGCTTGCTTCCTCCAGTACTGAGCTCCTGGGTCTCTGTCAAAGCTTCCTGGAGCCTGAGAAATGATGTCCCTCCCACCCTGCCCCCGCGGGGGACAGTCCTTTAACCAACAGGAGTCTCAGAGCTGTAGCTCCCAGTTCCCCGGCCCTGGAAACAGGGCAGCTCTCCCCGAGGCCCACGCTGTTTTCAGACTTCCTGCACAGGCTGAGCAGAAGTGCTTCCGCTCAGGACTTCCCTGACTATCACACTCCTGGGGGGCTTCCTTCCCTCCCCCAGTTCATGAACCCACTCCCCTTTCCCAAGAACCTTGCCTGATAGAGCCCTCAGACAGGGATCCTCATCCCAGGGTGAGACGTGGGGAACCTGGATGAACTCAGCGCCAGGTGGGCGCTGAGAAGCTCCAGGGCTCTTGGCCGCTCAGGGCTCTGTGTCCCACACTCCTGTCTTCCTTCCCGGCCTCATTCTCTGCCTCATCTGTTGCTTTGCTTCCATCCCTACCTGTCACTCCATTTCTTCTCCCCTTGCCCACCTGAGCCTGCAAACCCAGTGGGCCCTTGACTCTGCTGATGACCATCAGAATTCCCAAGTTTGTTTACTTACAGAACAGAAATAGATGCACAGAATTAGAGAACGAACTTACGGCTGCCTGGGGGAAGGCTGGTGGTAATGGACAGTTAGGGAGTTTGGGGTGGACATGTATACACTTCTCTGTTTCAAAGGGGTAACCAACAAGGACCTGCTGTAGGGTGCAGGGAGCTCTGCTGAGTGTTATGTGGCAGCCTGGATGGGAGGGGAGTTTGGAAGAGAATGGATGAATGTATATGTATGGCTGAGTCCCTTTGCTATTCACCTGAAACTGTCACAACATTGTTAATCAGCTATACCTCAGTACAAAATAAGTAAAAAAAAAAAAAAACTTACAACTTTGCACAGAAAAAAAAAGAATTTCCAAGTTTGCATGCAAATTGTTAACTAGTTCGTAGGGCATGTTCTCCGCCTGCCTGTAACCTGTGTGCTCTGAGCAGGCTTGCCCTGTCCACCCTTGTTGATCTTTTCTCTGTCACGCCATATCTCCCTGATTAGGCTGAGATCCTGGAGAGCAGTTGTTGTTCAGTCGCTCAGTCATGTCTGACTCTTTGTGACCCCGTGGACTGTAGCACATCAGGCTTCTATGTCCTATACTCTCTCGTAGAGTTTGCGAAGATATCAGTTCTTTGGTGCTCAGCCTTCTTTATGGTCCAACTCTCACATCCATACATGACTTTGACCAGAACCTTCGTCGGCAAAGTAATGTGTCTGCTTTTTAATGCACTGTCTAGGTTTGTTGTAGCTTTTCTTCCAAGGAGCAAACGTCTTTTAATTTCGTGGCTGCGGTCACTGTCTGCAGTGATTTTGGAGCTCAAGAAAATAAAGTCTGTTACTGTTTCCATTTTTGCCCGTTTATTTGCCATGAAGTGATGGGATCAGATGCCATGATCTTCGGTTTTTGAATGTTGAGTTTTAAGCTAGCTTTTTCACTGTCTTCTTTCATGCTCATCAAGAGGCTCTTGAGTTCCTCTTCGCTTTCTGCCTTTAGGTTGGTGTCATCAGAGGCTGGACCAAACACTTTGGAGTCTCCACTGTGTGTGGCTTCCCTTGTGGCTCAGCTGGTAAAGAATCTGCCTGCAATTCAGGAGACCTGGGTTCGATCCCTGGATTGGGAAGATTTCCCCTGGAGAAGGGAAAGGCCACCCACTCCAGTATTCTGGCCTGGAGAATTCCATGGACTGTATGGTCCATGGAGTCGCAAAGAGTCAGACACAACTGAGCGATTTTCACTTTCACTGTGTGTGTGCTCTGCCCCCTATCCAGTAGGGTGTTATCTGGGAGATTGCCCCCACCCCTTGTGAAACCTTTGGAGTCCTGCTGGGTGTGAACTT